TAATAAAAAATAATGAGTATTAATTCCTTAATTGCACCCACTGTGGTTACTTGGAAGGAAAATGAAATGTCGTAACAGTCATTAGAGGCAGTGGGTCTGAGCCTGTCTGTTCTTAATTATCTCTCTCTTCAGGCCTCCAGATTCTGCAATGGGAACTTTGGCTCAAGAGAATTGTGAGCCCCCTGCTACCTTACCCTAACTTGGCCTACGTACCCGGTATTGATGCCACAAAAATTCTAGTACTGTTCCCTCCTCATGCTCAAGTGATGGCTCTCTCAAGCACTGAATTGACTCACCAACAAATGTAGCTACCAGGAATGGGCTAACTGTTAATGCCCAATCTGCAGCCATTCCAAATGCAGACACAGTTTGAGACTTTGAGTACATTAATTTATATGCTTTGGTAATAGAGTACCCATAGTTCTGCCATCACTGTTGCCTGTAAGATGTGCACTGAATGGCCACCAAGAGAGTTTCAGGTGCCACCCAAATGATTAGCAGAGTGTCCACAGCTGGCAGCATATGTTTTTACTGATGGTGGACATCCACCCATGCCTTGGTGCACATAAAATTTATCCCACATATGGATGGGAAAAAAAAAAGGAAACATTTACAATCACAACTAGAGATGACTGGCAAACATATTACAGTTGTACGCTATACACTATCAAATCACAGGAATATCATCAATAGTTTGACTGGTATCTACAAACACAGAATTAGTACCAGTTACATCTAAATCCTGCCTTTTCTCTGCCTGTCTATAGATTCCAGTGCAACAGAGAATTAAGAGGACTTTTACCTGTGCCATGAGACTTAAGCTACAAGCTCAATTCACTGTCCCCCAACACCCAGTTCCACCATTCCTGTGTGCAGATGAACAACACTGCCACTTTCCTCATCAGCTCAGGCAGTTTGATGTGTAGCAGTTTGCTCTGTGGGTGTGTTTAGTTGCTTCAAGTGATGGCCCAGACTACAAAACATACAGGCCTAACCCTCACTTATGTGGTTTTGACTTCACTGGCTGGAACAGAAGACTATGAAATTGAGAGAGATTTGTAAGATGACCTCTAAAATAAGAGCTGTGGCATTACAGAAAGGGTTGCAAACTAGCAGACAGAGTCTTCAATTATGTTGATATTATACTGACATACATTTACTACAGCTGTAGCTTTAGAAATGAGAAATGTCTCTATTTTAAAATGAGACTGGCACTCAACCATTGAGCTATGATTGAAATTTCAGCCATTAATGTGGTTATCTTTATGATACACAAACACTAGCTGCCAGATACTTCAAACTAACTGGGCATGATATATTGAACTGTATATTCTGTCTGTTTCCAGCATGAGGTCCTTCACATCCATCCTCCCCTCTATCTAAATAATACAAATGTCATTAGATGACTATACAATTACTTGCAGAATCCCTAAATAAAAACATCTTTGTCTAAAAACAAAATCAGCTAATTCAGCCAAAAATATTTTACTTTGAGGACATAATAAATCTTCCGTGTCAGTGCAATAAACTTAATAATCTTACCATGTTTAACAAAGTGCTTATTTTAATCACATTCTTCACCTTAGCTTTCCTAAAACAGTATTCTTTCATCAATAAATTCAAAATATAAACAAGAAAAAATAACTCTGGCAGTACCATTCCCATAATGAAACCAAGTTCAGTTTTGCACTTGAAGCATCTATTCACTAGGGATGTCAACCTGTAGTTGACCACATGATTAACTAACTGGTTGATCTTATCAACTACATGCACTCCTCCCCCTTTCACCTGATCCCGTGGAGCATCCTGCCCCCCTCTCTGATAAGAGAGGCAGCAGAGCAAAGGGTGAGGGGGCAGGTGGGATTTGGTACACACTTTCAAGCCAGCTCCCCACATGTATCAGCTCCCATAAAGCCGCCTGCCCCACCCCTTTGCTGCCTCCCAGAGGCACCGGGGATGGAGTGGGAGGGCAGGAGAGGGTGCCACAGAGCAGCCTCTGTCCATGGTGGACTCAGGCTCGCCATGGATAGTGGCTGCTCCATGGAATGCCAGAGGAAACCGCCCTTCCCACCCCCAACCAGACTGGCTCCCTCCCACCACCCTGCGTTGCTGCCTCTGTATCAGAGGCAACAGCGCGGAGTGGCAGGGAGTCCCCGGGAGTGGGCCCAGGAGCGCACTGGCAGCTGGCCCCGCCCCTGGGGACTATTGAATAATCATGTAACAGCTAAGTTTTGATGTAGTTACACAATTATTCAATTAACTGATATCTAACATCCCTAGTATTCACTCCTTTTTTTCTTTGAATACAGGTTGTAGTCCCCCAAAATTATATAATGCATTACAGCTTACCCTTCTCCAAATTTATGCCAATTTTTCTGGGAGTTTACAATTAAATTGATTAGTTTGATTTAAAATTAATTTATCCTTTAAAAAAATCAATTATTTGTTGTGAATAATCTAAATAATAATGCAGATGCTTTCATGTTCTCTTATAGTTAAAGCTCACCAAAATCTTGTCTATGAGCTACATTTAAGCAATTATTTTATTTATTAATGTTCATTTCGTCATTTTTCTTCATTTGGGTAATTTTCTTTAGTGAGACTGATCAATAATGTACTTCAGGAAATTCCACAAAGAACTACCTTATTTCAAAAGGACTGCCATCTTCCTTTCTCATCAGTAAGACTGAGGTCATATTTTGTCCACAGTTAGGTAGCCAATTGGAGATGAGCATCTCTTATTTAATCTCAGTAGAGCTGAAGTTGCAGGCTGTTCTTTACCCAAGATGGATGCTGGTCTCATTTTTACTGGAAATAATGGCAGGCAGTGGCCATTATATAAATTTAAAAAAAAAAAAAAAAGGGCACTTCAAAATGTAGTTCGTTTTAGTCTTCCTCCCATTGAGAGGTGGCAGCCATTTTGAATTGCATCATCCTCTGCCGTAAACTAAACCTTTAATGCCGAATGTTTATTGCTTCACAAAGTGGACCTGTTGTGCCAGATCTACTGAAGAAGGAGCTTATGTGTGTAGCAAGGGAGAGGCGAGTTGGTGTGTGCACATATAGGGGATTTCGGAGGACAGGATGTCGAAGTGAAGTGGGGTATATGCTCTATGGTTTTATAGTGCTCTGACAATGCAAAGCAGCTGTAAACTGACTGCTTTGTACTGCTCCAGAGCATACTGGGGAACAGAGACAATTAAAAACAAGTAGTAATTTAAGGCTCATACTTCATGTAATTAGAATCATCATGTGCCATGTAGAAACACTATGGGCAGAATCTAATACATCTAACATTCAGTTTCATACATTGGCACAATGGTGTCTGTATTTTAACTGGCACAGTCACATGCTATTAACCTCACCCCTCGGCTGTTATGGACAACCTTGGTTCAAGATATTATCATACTGCTAATCTCTAATAGTTACAGAGAAAGATTATTCATTTATTACTTTATTTTTATAATAGTAAGAATAAACCTTGCACTGGGAATCTGCATTTTACAATATTTATGGACAAAGGTAAAATAGATCGCACGCCATTTGTTTTTTATTTACTTTCTCTTCGATTGAAGCTTAATTTCTACTTGTTACCAAATGTGCTTTCTTAACTCAACATGGTTACTTTTTAAAAAGTGGAATAATTCGTCTATGTTTTTAAAGACTGTTTGAAACAAGGACCATCATTTACATATTTTTGTATTGTCTTTTTCCATTTCTATAATGCTTTATAGCTCAAGATATCAAAAAGTTTAACTATGAATTCAGCTTTAGGTTATTCTATCTGTCCTCAGAGAGGTGTAATCTTCATGATGCCAAATTGAGAACTGAGGCACTAGGGGTTTAGTGACTTGTCCAAGATTTCTCAGTTAGTCAGTGAGGGTACGTCTAGACTATATGCCTCTGTCGCCAGAGGCATGTAGATTAGGCTACCAGGCATAGGAAAATGAAGCGGCGATTTAAATAATCGCCGCTTCATTAAAATTTACATGGCTGCCACGCTGAGCCGACAAACAGCTAATCAGCTGTTTGTCGGCTCAGCGCTGTAGTCTGGACGCGCGGGTGTCGACATCAAAGGCATTTGTCGTCCACCCAGGTATGCCTCCTGGGATGAGGTATACCTGGGTGGTCGACAAATGCCTTTGATGTCGACACCCGCGCGTCCAGACTACAGCGCTGAGCCGACAAACAGCTGATTAGCTGTTTGTCGGCTCAGCGCGGCAGCCATGTAAATTTAAATGAAGCGGCAATTATTTAAATCGCCGCTTCATTTTCCTACGCCTGGTAGCCTAATCTACATGCCTCTGGCGACAGAGGCATGTAGTCTAGACGTACCCTGACAAGACTTCTCAGTTCCAAACTTTAACTCTGAGGCCATATATTCCCATTATATATTTTACTTTACACCAGTATTGTTTTCTGTCTGAAGCACATTTGCTAGTGATAGTTGGAAAATGCCAGTCATCCAGGCAAGGATATTCCATTCTGTGTATAGGCATGCTTTGTGCAGTCAGGAATACTCACAGGCAGAGATTTTTGGTTTTTCTTTGCTTATTCACAATGGTAAAAGGTATGTTTTATTCTGTGTGCATCTTCCCTTTGTAGCTAACAGCACAATGGTTATCTTCAACATCTTGGGACTTTGCACTGTTAATCATGACATTTGGATATGCAAATTGCTACAAATAGTTATGCAAATAAAGCATGAATCTCAGTCTTCTGGCAAGTTACCAATGCTGCCCTTGCTACTGGAAGTGATGGCCACTCCCCTCCATTGCTTTATTAGACATCCCTGTCCTTGATTTTCACATAGCATGGTATTAAGTGGACTAGTAACAGTGGCAACACATAGTTATGAAATGGCTTGAAGGACAACATGGCTCAATTCACTACCGTAAAAGGTAGAAAATACTGACCCCACTTTTACCTCTTCCTCCCCAACTGGTTAACAAGAAGAAGACTATTAAAGCATGTAGAACATTCTAAAGGAGAAACAAAACTGAAATGTGTGCAGTTTTATTTGAGCTACACAGTAGGTACAAATTAACTGAAAAGAAAGTGGACTTAAAAAAACAAAAATAAAAAATATCACAATACATTGTCTAGAGATCTTTCAAAGGAAGTTAAAGATAGTTCAGAGCAGGTTACGGTAAGTATTACACCAAGCAGCTTCTACCTTTTCACAAATGTGCAAAGTGTATATTTACTCACTATACAAGAATATATTTGTGAACTTCAGTGTACAGATGCACACTGCATTGAACATCAGAATTACAGTTTCTTTTTGGTGGTTTTTTAGAGCCATGGAATTTGCTGATTTAAGCCTGATCCAATGCTCACTGAAGTCAATAGAAAGACTCATTGATTTCACTGGGCTATGGATTAGAGCCATACTGAAAAGCTAGCTGCACATAGGGTATTTACAGTAAATTCCAGCAGAACTGGGGACCACAATGTAATCAACTTTCACCAGGTCAAACAAAAAAAATGAGAGCTATGTAAGTGGCTATTCTATTGTTGAGTCAACAGCTCTACAGCAATAAACTGTATTTCTACTACCAAATGCATGTCTCAGTTACAGTTTAGTCACTGAAGACCAGGTTTAAAACACATCATGTTTGAGTAAATTATTTTACACTGAAGTACATAATCAATTGTTTTATTTTTTTCTAACAATATTAAATACATTCAACATTCTTCATAGTTATAAACAATTGAAGCATAAAAAGGTTTATACATCATGTGATGAGAGTTCTTGCCTTTCTTTCCTCAATTTATTCACATAGAAATGGAAGGACTCCTGTAAGAGGAGAGGGAGAAAAAATATTATTTCACTGAAAGTTACTAATTGTAAATAAAGCACCATACTTTCTGAGACAAGCTAAATCTATTTATTGTTCTATGCCATTTACTAGTTATCCTACATCAAGGTTTATAAAATAATTTAACACAATACTAACATTAAATAAAAGAGAAAAGGAAAATTTTGCTTTAAATGCTTAAGGAAATATCAAATATTCTCACTACAAGATGCTATTTCCCAACCTGAAATTGTGTGTTTGAGAATAAATGAATTAAAAAAAAGAAAGAATCTCAGCAACATTATTCATACTAAATGAGAAAAGAAATAAAAAGATGGTGTGGAGGAACATTAAAAGATGTAAGAGGAAATTCCACTGTTTAAGAAAAACAAGTCACCTTTACTGCTAGTAGGAACTCAGGAAGTAAAAATGGTATTGATACTATATGTTAAAATTAAACTAAACAACCCCAAAGGAGGATTCAAATGATAAAAGCAAAGAGAGAACAGTTACTTATTGTTACATACTGTTAAAAAGAGAGAAATTATACGTAACAGTTTCAGAAAAAGGGTGGAAAATACTGATTATAAAAACTTCAAAATGGCAGGAATTGGAAAGTAATGAAAACCATGTACTTTAATACACAGATCAAAGGAAGGAAAGTATCTCAATTCCTATGTCCAGAGTATTCACTGAAAGAATGCAATGGAGAAAAGGTATTTTCACTCTCCTCACAACAGTTTCATGCATCTGTTATCCTCAGGAAAGGGGCATTTGTAAAAAGGATAAAGCTACATATTTTTATTATGAAAGTCAGTAACAGTCAAACTGAAATGGGGAATTATTTCTACAGCTTTAAAAATCCCATCATATTGTTGTTATGCAAAACAACTTGCATTCAAAATAAAACAAACAATTTCTGGACACTAAAATCCTTTGTTATTGCAATACATATTCTAAAATTAATTTAAGTTGAAACAATGAGGTAAATGCCCCAAAGATAAACTCACACCTACAGATAAGCACTGATAAGGATCCTGCACTTTAAATACAACAAGCTTCAGAAGATTCTCTTCTCCCATAAGTCAAGCCCAATGCAAGATTAATACAGTACCTACAAAACTCAAGTACTTCATACATTGACTCCTTTGAGGATTCTCCATGGAGATATAATCCCTATGCATTTAAGTATGCAACCCATAAGAATGCAAAGCTATTTCTTTTTAAATCCGAAAAAACACTCACAGGGGGTTCAGTGAATGGGACAGGCTCTCCTGCACTCTTCAGCAGAAATGCCAATCGTTTCAGGAATATCTCATCTGTCCGAATATTCTCAGCTTTTGCTTTCTCAAACAGAGTTTTTGCAGAAACGATGTCGTTGTCTAATACTAAGGAAAGAAAAAAACCTGAAGTTATAGGAGATGTCTGTCAACAGTTTCTATTCACTGTGCACTTCATGACAAAGATTTCTTGTTTCCTTTATCTTTTAAGCAAATTCTTTAGCTCATAAGAGGACCATCACCATACTAATTAAAAAAAATTCATTCCACAAAGCAATTTCCCCTTTTCCATTTTACAATGAGGCTGGACGGCAGATTCCTTTGATGTTTGCTAGACTGACAAAGGAGCTGCACATTCAGAAGGCAAACATTCCAAGACTTGAGATGCTTAGACTATGTCTACCCTATGAGCTAGAGGGTGTGATTCCCAGCTTGAGTAGGCATACCCACGCTAGCTCTCCTTGAGGTGGCACACTAAAAATAGTAGTGTAGTAATAATATAGGCACTGTCAAGTGGCAGCATAGTCTAGCCATCCCACACACAACCCCACCTGAACCCTATGTGTACATATTCAGCACAGTTACCCTATAGGGACACTGCTCATGCTATCCTGATCACCCTATGTTTAGCATACCAGCTTGAGGATAGTCAATGCATGTCTACACAAAAATGATACCCCTTCCTCAGAGAGAAGTTGCCAGAGAGTCAATGACCTCTTACTGGAGGGATGACAGAGACTAACTGTATTGTAGCTCTGAATCAGTGAATCCTAGATCTGTGGATTTCAGACGTTTGTTTTTCTTTTCAAATACAGGCAGTCCCCGACTTACGCGGATCCGACTTATGTCGGATCCGCACTTACGAACAGGGCTCTCTCGCCCCGGAGCTCGCAGGCAGCGATCCGCCACCTCGACCTCCGGGGCGAGAAAAGCTGCTCCCGGTGCCCCTGGTCTGCTGGAGACCATCTCCAGCAGACCAGGGGCACCGGGAGCGAAGCCGCAGCAGCGGCGGGGTCCCCCCCCTCTTAGGCGTTTGTCCTGTGG